CATCCAATGTGCCGATTCCTGAAATAAAAAAATAGGCGTAGAATATGTTTATATTTTCATAAAATTACAATATGATAAACCTTAAAATAATAATTATGCTTTGATAAAGTAACAAATTATCAACTTTAGTTCCCTAAAATAAAAACGTCTTTCAAATGCCAAATATATTTCCAGTGCAATTTCGTGTAGAGTAGGGGAGAAAGTGCCACTTGCCGCCATTTTTTAAATTTAAACGACATACGCGCGAAGCCAACATTCCAACATCAGGTCTATTACTCTGCCCGTCGGGCACATGCATTTAGTGTCGAAGTAGTCGTGTACGGGAGAGTACGTCTAATTTTTTGATTCATAGGCTCTAAAGTAAAAATTTGTTGTCGTCTATTTTTTGTTCTGCAACAGTTAGTTTTCATCGAATTTAAACAAGGTAAGCTTGCTCTGATACCTATTTTAATCTGTTTTCTTGCATTGCTGTCAAATCTTCAACATTTCAGATATTTTTTTCGTTATGATCAATAGTATTCAAAAAAAAAAGGTGGGGTTAAAAGTGCAACACACGTTTTTTGTGGCACTTTTTACCCCCCTATGGAGAATAAAGATATGTTTTATTTTTTTTGAATTTTTTTAATTATTGAAGCTTCATTATTAAATCATTTCAGAATGCGAACTTACACCAGGAAAACTGCGAGGGGACAAACTTCTTTAGAAGATATGCATCGCGCAGCTGATCTTGTTACACAAAATGGACAGTCCATAAGGTCAGTAGCCAAAGCTCTTTCGATATGTAGAGTGAGTTTAAGTAGATTCATTGAACGCCGTAACACCAATCCAAACACGACCTTTGGCTATCGATCAGCACGTAGGGTTTTTAATAACGAGGAAGAGACAGCACTAAATGAATATTTGACACAATCTGCGCAAATATATTTTGGTTTAACCCCAAAAGATGTGCGTAGTCTAGCATACGAGTGTGCAGTCCAATTTAAAAAAGATATGCCAGACTCATGGCGACATAACAAACAGGCAGGTGCTGATTGGTTTGCAGCGTTCTTACAAAGAAATCCACGACTTTCCATTCGAACACCTGAAGCAACAAGTTTGGGAAGGGCAACATCTTTTAACAAGAAAAACGTTACTGACTTTTTCGACAAATTAAACAATGTTTTGGAGCGCTACTCATTCACTGCTTCCTCTATATGGAACACAGATGAAACATGAGTTTCAACGGTCGTGAAACCTCCGAAGATTCTAGGACTAAAGGGGTCAAGGCAAATCGGTGCCCTTACTTTAGGCGAAAGGGGTACAAATGTTACACTAACAACAGCAGTTTCTGCAAGTGGGGTTTGTATACCTCCTATGTTTTTATTTCCCCGAAAGAATTATAAAGAATATTTTATTCGGGGTGGACCCCACCTGACAGTATTGGAACAGCAAACTCATCCGGTTGGATGACAGAAGATAGCTTTCTTGTGTTCATGAAGCATTTCATTAAACATGTGAAACCGACAAAGCAATCACTAGTCCTTCTGTTATTAGACAACCATAGTTCGCATTTGGCAATATCAGTTTTAAATTTGGCGAAAGAGAATGGCGTTGTTTTATTATCTTTTCCGCCCCATTGCTCGCATCGACTACAGCCGTTAGATGTGGGTGTATACGGCCCATTCAAAAAATACCTATCGTCTGCACAAGATTCCTGGATGAGAAGTAATGCCGGAAAGAATATCACAATTTATGATATTCCATCAATTGTCAATTCAGCTTACCCCCTAGCGATGTGTCCTAACAATATTATAAATGCCTTTAAAAAGAGTGGCATATATCCTTATAATCGGAACGTTTTCTCAGATATTGATTTTGCTCCAGCATATGTCACCGATCGGCCAGTTCCTCCTGGCGAAAATGACAATCAGGGCAATCAACTTCTTGAGAATGAACCACAAGTCGTCAATGAAAATCTTCAAGAGGTAATTCCTAGTGAAAATAGTCAACATCCTACCTTTAATGAAAATTCGCAGCAATCTGCCTTAGACAGAAATGACCAACCACAAAATAAAGAATGTACAAAAAACATAGACAGTGCCGAAAATCCAGTTGCTGGACCATCTAATCTGCCAGAAAAACAAGCATTTTTTCCACACATAGTAAAACCGCTTCCCAAAGCGGGACCTCGAACAGGATCGACAAAAGGCAGAAAACGAAGATATACAGCTGTGCTCTAGAGAAGGAACAGGCAACAAGATCCCAGAAAAAGATAAAACAAATTAAGCAAAAGGCAAAGCAAGTTAAAAAACAGGTTTTCTCAAGAAAAAGTAAGCATGATCCGGAGTCCTCAACCGATTCACCAGATGACTGCCTTTGCCTAATATGTTGCGATTCATATTCACAGAGCTTACCTTCAGAGGAATGGGTGCAATGTAGATCTTGCAAAGAATGGGCTCACGACAAATGTGTTACGGGTGACTCAAAATTGTTTGTGTGTCTTAACTGTGACAGTGACATGGATTAATCACCATCTTATTATTAAACCTTTTATTGTTCAGTTGTTCACGTTTTAAAAATGTAATTCATTTCTTACTTTTATTCGAACGCATTAAAAAGCAGCTTTACTTACATATTTTCTATCCTATTCTATCATGGCACAACTTACCCCCATGGGCGGTACTTTTTACCCCATGTATGGGGTAAAAAGTACCATTTACCAGAAACCATAAAAAATTATATTACCGGCTATTTTATCCTGTTACGCATTCGTCTCATGTAATTTTGATAACTTAAAGTTAAAGCTATTAAAAGGACAAAAAATAATAAAAAAGTAATCTGCCAAAGATTTTTTACAGCTCATTTTACTATAAATGGCACTTTCATCCCCGGTCTACCCTACCCAACAAAATTTCCAAAAATTTTTCATGCTTTTCATGATAACTTTATAAAATAAGGGCATTTAATTGATTGCAAAATAGAAGTGCAAAATTTTTATTAAAATACTTTATATATTTCTTAAATATTTTTTTTATTCCTAAAGGTACCATTTTGGTAGGCGCGACAGACGACGCGACCGAGAAGTGTCGCTTCACATCTAAAATACATACAATTATATGACGTCAAGACGACACTTCCTGACGACACTTCTGAATCTATCTCGGGACAAAGGTTTGCTGCGTGTCGCACTCGGGGTCACTGTCCTCGAGCATTGCTTCATTTTGGAGGTGATTAGGTTGAAAATTTCTTTCGATCTGGGCAGTGTTGCCAGATTTTGGAACAGTATGGGTGAAAAAAAAAAACGTTTTTTTATCCGTAAAATACTTATGTACACTACAAATTAGACTACATCTAACACACGTCTAGGCATTTTTAAAGTTTACAATATACATACAATGTCAACACTTCCAAAGAATTAATTCAACTGCAATATTTGTAACAAATTTAGTACCTACCCTAATGTTATTTTAATTTAAATCTGACCATTAGGGGAATTTTACCTAATTTCTTGGGAAGTGGCTTATTGGAACTGGTTGTCAATGACTAATTTGCATAATTTTGTTAATCCGAAACCCGCGTAAGTATAGCAAACCTACTGTACCACAGAATACATTTACACTGTTAGACCACAAAACCTTAGCAGATCTAATTAATATTTAAGTTCTTAATTATTTACCCATATTTTATTAAGATGGTCTTGAATATGTTTAATTAAAATGCAAGTTGTTTTAGACATATTTTAAAATTAAGGAATTTTCTTTAAACCGCAATTTATTATTGACGCACAAATATTTGATGTATCCTATAATTCTTTCTTGCTGGATGAATAAATATTATCATGTACATAATTTATTAATGTTACATAATTATAGTCTAACATTTTCTAAGTCATTGATGTAAATCAGAATAAAAATGAAGATACTTATGCAGCATCCTGTATATGTCTTCCATTTAATTGTTGTTGTGTTCACATCTCTTGAACAACAGCTATTTTTGATTATTTGCCGTAACAATTTTGTACGTATTCCATTTGAATATTTCAGCGACATCTACTTGCGATTTATCACTAAACTAGATCAATTACTGTATTTCTTTTAGTTGATTTGTAGATGGCACTAATATATTTTCAATCGACAACAAAGTAGGTAAAACAGAATTCTAGCCATTTACATGAATGTTAACTGTAACGCATAGAAATGAGTTCACGATAAATACGCAAGTATATAGTGAGTGTGTATTAAATCAAAGATTCATGCTCCATAGCTATCATAAAAAACGTAATTGGTTATAATTTTGGTCATAAATTTGTTTTGCTACAAGAAGATAATATTAACAAACTCCTTTATTTGCATGTAATATACATAGAATGCACCAAAACTCGAATTCTAGATTACGTTAATCTAATTAATCTTTATATTCTATATAACACTTAATAAAAAAAAAAAAATTTAAGACGCACAAAAAAATTGTTACCCTGTACTACAAGGATTTTTAATTCAAATAAGGATAGGTAAATAAATTTCACAAGTTTCAACTGATTGCAATCTCTATCATCATTATATTTATTTTTTTAAGTTTTTTAATATTTCTTTTCCAATTTAGTTAACCTCTTAGTACTTGAAAATCTGTAGGCAATTCACACGTGCTTAATTTTTACACTTTCAACATCATCTCTATTATTATCATCTTTAAAGTTTGTACTTTCTCCAAAAAGTATCGTTTCCAGCGTGGCATACGGCTTCTAGTTCTTCATACGAATATCTATGAATAAAACATGATTTTTTCTTCATTCTTTCATTTATATCTTTGACCTAGACCTAATGACATCCATAACGACCGCTGATTATCTTGGTTTTAACATTACTTCCGCCAGAAAAATCATCGTTCTACATGAAAAGCACTAAAAGCATGCGATTTTCATTATCATTTTTGTGTTAAATCATCCTTTTTAGAATAGGTCAACTGCAAAAGCCTAAATGACATCGACATATTAATGTATTGTATGTCGATATGTGTATCAGAACGCAAGCTTTTGTTATTATGCTTGTTCTTTTCGCAATGGTGCTGTGCGTGGATGGTTTCAGCTGGTTCAGTTTTGGAAATGGGGTGGAAGAGTTTATTTGGAATAAAACTGCTCCTACGAAAGGTACATTTTTGATTCATTCGTTTAGTAAAAATTAACTGACCATCAAAATCAGATATTAAATAAATGCCCAATATACTTTTTCATATTAGAACATTAGATCAAATAATCGCTGTTTTTTTTTTATTAAACTAAGTTCGCTAAACAGAGATAGCGTCATTATTCATTTAAGACAAACCAGTCTAATATTTTTAAAAAATATGGACTCTAGACTGGGCCAAAAAAATAAAACAATTTTTTTTCTTTGCGGAACTATGACAATATTGTTCATGACGACAAAAAAAATTTTTCCTGAAAGTTTGCGCCCTTAATAATAATATTAAGAGGTGCATCATTGCAGTTATTAATTTTTCAACAGTTGTCGCGTTTTTGCATAAATTTCGTACTTGGTCAATTTTAAAAAAAAATTTCATCTCTTATCCTGGTAGGAAATTAAATTCCCCACAAAAAAGCTCTCCTAGTAAATTTTGGTAAGACGAGTCTATTCTTTGTAATCTTAATATTTAAGTTCATTTTGGAAATCCCAAATGCAAAGTGAAAAATTGAAAATATATACCAATGTTTAAGGCTCGATTACAAAGAATAGACTCGTCTTACGAAAATTTACTAAGAAAGCTTTTTTGTAGGGAATTTAATTTCCTACAAGGATGAGAGATGAAAATTTTTTTTTTAAATTGACCAAGTTTGAAATTTATGCAAAAACGCGACAACTGTTGAAAAATTAATAACTACAATGACGCACCTCTTAATATTATTATTACCTGTATGTATTTAACCAGATCTGCGATTTTAAACAATAAGGCCCCTATACCTACCATACCTGAGATGGGGTGTCACTAAGGCCAAAGTGGTGGTTGCGGCGGGCGCTTAGGTAAGACAAGTATCGAATACTGGCAAATTTTAAATGCACTTAACCACGTCTGCCGTTTTGAAATTTGAAAATATATTATTATTATAAAAAAACAACAATGTCAGACCATTGTCGCGCATTTAACATTGTGGCAGACAGTTTTGAAAGTGCTAAAAATAATAAAATTAATTAGGATCTTAAAAACTTCGTCAGCAGACAACAAAATCTTAGTTACTATCAGGCCAGGCGTATGTATAGACTGTGTATAGCTCTCTTTCTTTTTTCCCCTATGGATTACTAGTGTACTCATTCTAGCCTATAGCATTTTCTTTTATTGTTACTGGTAACTGCACGAGTTGATTCCGAGCAGTGTTGCCAGAATATATTTTTGTAATGTACCAGATTTATCTAAAAAATGTACCAGATTTCATAAAAATGTACTAGATTCTATAAAATTACCAGATTTTTCTAATTATGAAGTATGGTCATTAAAGAGCAAAAAAAGGTTAATAGAGAACACGAACACAACAATTTTAAACAATATTTTATCTCTCCATAAATTTCTGACACTATTTTATCTCTCGAGCAGTTTTTGAATAAAATTTTAATACCTTTTGATACTCTTTTATCTCTTAAACAGTTTTTAATCTTTTTTTATCTTTTGAGCTATTTTGAAACAATATTTTATATCTCGATAAATTTCTAACAGTATTCTATCTCTCGAACAATTTTTAACAACTTTTTTTTATCCCTCGAGCAATGTTTGTACAATATTTTTTGTTCAATTTTTAACAGCTTCTTTACCTTTCAAACTATTTTTGAACAATATTTGATCTCTCGTGTAATTTTTGAGCAAAATTTTAACAATTTCTAACACTATTTTATCTCTCTAGCAATTTTTGAAAAAGATTTTAATACCTTTTGATATTATTTTATCTCTTGAACAGTTTTTAAATCTTTTTTTATCTCTTGAGCTATTTTTAAACAATATTTTATTTCTCAATAAATTTCTAACAGTATTCTATCTCTCGAGCAATTTTTAACAACTTTTTTTTTATCCCTCGAGCAATGTTTGTACAATTTTTAACACTATTTAATCACTTGCGCAATTTTTAAAAGCCTTTTTTATCTTTCAAGCTATTTTTGAACAATATTTGATGTCTCGTGCAATTTTTGATCAACATTTTAACAATTTCTAACACTATTTTATCTCTCGAGCAATTTTTATTAACATTTTCTATCTTTTTAACAATTTTTAACAATGTTTAACAGTATTTTTTAATTTTCGAGTAATTTTTGAATAAAATTTTAATCACTTATAATACTATTTTATCTCTCGAACTATTTTATTTCTCGAACAGTTTTTAATCCTTTTTTAATCTCTTGAGCTATATTTAAATAATATTTTATCTTTCGATAAATTTATAACATTATTCTATCTCTCGAGCAATTTTTAACAACTTTTTTATCTCTTTATCAAACTGCACAATATTTTAACTCTCGACAAATTTATAAAAATATTTTAACTCTCGATAAATTTTTAATATTGTTTTATATCTCGAGCAATGTTTGTACAATATTTTATCTCTCGAGCATTTTCTAATAGTATTTTATCGTTCGAGGAATTTTTAAACAATGTTTTATCTCTCGAAAAATTTCAAATGTAGGTATCTCTTGAGTCAATTTTGAATAATATTTTATTTCTCAACAAATTTTTCAATAGTATTTTATCCCTCGAGTAATTTTTGAACAAGGGTTTAACATTTTGTAATACTCTTTTACCTCGAGCAATTTTTGAACACGATTTTAACAATTTATAATAATCTCTCAAAAAATTATTAAATATTTTCATCTCTCATTAAATTTCTAATAGTATTTTTATCCTTTGAGAATTTTTTTAGCAATATTTTACCTTTCAAGCAATTTCTAATACTTTTTTATACTTTGGCCAATTTTTTACCTCTCAAGCCATTTTTGAACAATATTCGATCTCTTGTGCAATTTTTAAACAATGTTTTATCTCTCGAGTAATGTCTACTATTTTTTCTCTGAAGTAATTTTTAACAACTATTTTGATTTCTCTTGCAATTTTTGACCAATATATTTTACACTTCAAATGGAAACATACCTACGCTGAAAAAGTACTAGATTTTGTTTCGAGTGTACTAGAGTACCAGATTCTTAGAGAATGTACTAGATCTAGTACAATTGTACTAGACTGGCAACACTGATTCCGAGGCCCGAGTCGAATAAGTTCTAAATTTGCATAAAACAAATCCGGAACCTATTTGACCCATTCCGTCTACCCCCCTGCTTTGTACATGACATCGCTGCAGGGACCTCAGTGGCAAAAGGCATCAAATTTGCAAATCCAACTTTCGAAAAGGCATGAAAGTTAGAAATGTAATCATCATTTATGCAGAGTGTGGTTTAAGACTTTACTCTGCCGTGTCGTCTATGCGTGCGTGCAGTTAGGCGTCCCCGTCTGTGAGCGTTCCCCTAATTTCCTCAAGTGGCAATTGGGGCGACAGCTCTTTAGCAGGCGGTTGTCGTTTGTGTGTACAGTCTGGTGTCTATTTCTCGTGTTTGTTGTCTGAAATAAAAATAACCTCTGAAAAGCAATGTTACTGGTATTCAAATAATTCAGATTTTATATCTGAGAGGGCCCAGATATCTCTCCACCATAACGGTTAGTGCCAGATGTTTTCAGTATATTTGTGAACCTTTATACAGATACCTCGTGTTTTGTGAAATTAATAAAATACATAGTGTTGCTTTCTTTTATTTTGTTGATTAGTCTATTATTTATTTAATATATATGACATTATGTCGAGTAAAAAAAAACTGGAGATTGTTTTTTGTGACACGGTAAAAACTGATAAATTATTGATATTTTCAGAAGAGACTATATCAAAATGTCAAAAGATTTTGATGTTACGAAAATTTCATAAATTGAAACATAAATAAATGAAATTTATGATTCTGCATATCATAGTAGTTGTTAAAAGACATTTACAGCATTAAACAGCTGATAGCTTAATAATTGATGATATAATTGTACATGACTACCTTGTAAAAGATGTTAATCTTCCTAAGACAGAAGAAGTTGAAAACGAAATTGGCGCTGAAGCTTAACAGCCGTTGTAGGAAGAACCTTTTGAAGATTTAGCAGAGTCAATGACTGTTCATACTTCTGATAATGTAGCTTCAGCAAACTTAGTGTGTTTTTTTTGCAACAAAAAAAGAAACAATATCGCTCTAAGAATCAGCCATTACACACTTCAGGGAAGGATCAATTTGAAAAGAGTATTTTATTATACTTTAAGCCAGATACTGAAATTTACAGTGAAACTTTGACCAAAATACAAAGTGTTCTCTCTTGTGAAGTCTATTATCATGATATTTTCCGGCAAAATTTCAGGAATCAGAAAAGATCACTAGTGAAAAGTCCTCTCCGTACTTCGTGGCACATCTCCCGAGAAGTATATTAAACTGTTTATAAAGAAATATGTTGCTTAATTAAAGAGAATGTCATAAATCAAGGACATTATTACTTTTTAAGTTATTTACATAAGGAGTATATACCGTGTAGATGACAAGATCCAATCAAGTGTTGTTAAAAATTTATGTTGTACTTCCACATACTTTGATTTTCTTTTACTATACGAAGAATGGTCGCACTGTGCAGCTTTCTGAGTGCCTTTTAAAAGGAGATAGAAAACTCCACCATTTTGAACCCTGCCTACATCTTGGCGCAATATTTTTAATAAGTGCGTTTTAATCTTCCGCTTCTGCTTCGGAATTGTCGGTTTTCTTGTTTTAATCTGACAGGTTAGAACGACTGAACTGACAATTCCGGAAGCAGAAGCGGATGATTAAAACGCTTCTGATATTTTGCTTGCTGCTGTCAGTGTCAGTGAATATTATTTTTGTAATCACAGTTTATTGCTAAAGAATCAATTAGCTCACTCGGACCAGTTGAAAGTTCCAAAATAACATCCACTCCAGGGATACAAATTCAGGATACGCAGAAGACTGCTGTTTAATTATAGGCGGTTGTCATATATTGTATTATCTGAGTTGCGCAGTGTATAAAGTGGAACATTGAGATAAAAAGTGCCGACGCAGAGTGAGCGATCTGATTCATTAGCTATAAACTGTGTCATAGGATTCAAAATGGCCGCGCCCTATGTTGGGCGTCTCGGACCTCTCTCTTGCTCCGTATAGTAATCAAAGTATGTGTGTACTTCACATAAAGAAGCTGATACCAAAATAATTTCTCATGCTTGCAATATGACCGAGCAGTCAAATATTGTTATTAGAGCCCCTGATGCCGATATTTTAATTATAATGATTGGTAATATGACACATTTACAAAATTCTAATTATAATATTTGGATGCTCAATGGAACAGGAAATACGGAAAGGTATATTGACGTCACAAATATTTACAAGGACCTTAATGAATTGTAAGCCAGAAGCTTAATTGGCTTTCATGCGTTCACATGATGCAATTTCAATCCGCCTTTCTTTAATAAAGGGAAAAAAGACCTCTTAAATTGCTAAAAAAAAAATATTGAATGTCAACAAGCATTTGCTACTCTTGGTGAAGAAAATTTGACAAAGGACCAGTTACAAGAGGTATTTAACAGTATACAGAAATTTATCTGCCAGCTCTATAATACAAAAAATCTATTGACTTTGATGAAGGAAGGTACCAACTTTTCGTCAGCAATTATAAAGCTTCCGACGTCAATGTAAATTTTAGCAAAAAAAATTTGAATTTTGATGCCAGCTCAATACCACCGTGTAAAAGTGAGCTTTACCAGCAACTTCTAAGAGCACAATGTATTTCAACAGTTTGGAAAAATGCTTACAAAAAGTATCCTATCACATTGGACCCATTAGAGTATGGTTAGATTTAGCAAGACAACAAATTGGTATTTAAATGATTCGAAGGAGATCAACTCCTAACTTCCGTGAGTGACTTGATTACCCAAGTCCCTGGTAAGTTCATAATAATCAATTCTTTATCGAATATAATCGGATTAATTTAAAAATTACTTTTATTTTATAATTTACGTTTTATATGTTAGAACTAAAGGGACTGGTGGAAGGACGAATTATTCCTTGTTCAAGCATTTTATTAATTTGTTTACAAACTTTTTGTTTGTGAACTTCTGAGAAACGATATGATTTACAATAAATTGGTTTATCGTCAGTTAAGTTAATTTTGTGTTTGACTTAGAAAAGCTCAAAGGAATACATTCTGAATAAAATATATCCCTGTATTCAAAACATAAATTTGAAATTGCTGTTTCCTCGTCATTACAATGATCTAAACTTAATAATTTATTTAGGTTATTTTTTAAAATATTATCCCAATTTGTATGAATATTTAAATTTTGGGTATTTTGAGTATTTTTTATAAAATTTATTTCGTTAATAATTAACTCCTGTATTATAAAAGGTTGTGTAATTGTAATTTTAGATGGTTTAGTATTATTGTTTGTTATTGTAGTAAATGCAAAGAAATTTTTTATGTTTACAATTCCATCGTGTGTCTCCAGATTGTTGTCTAAAGTTATCTTGATCGATACCTTCCTTCTGATAAACTGGCAACTTAACTACCATTTCGGTATTTCCAAGAATTATTACTGAATAATTATTTAATTTTGGCTTTTGATTTATTTTAAGTCCATTGTCAAATTCTAAGGAAATATTAGTATAGGGGGTGATTAATAATTTGGCATCTACATTTATTATTGCTTGAAGATTTTTTAACAAGTCCATTCCTATAAGTACTTGATATTTATCATTAAAATTAAATATATAAAATTTATGTGTACCTAGTGCGTTAAAATCTTCAAAAATGGGTATGTACACTACCTCATTATAAAAACTTATATTATGAGAAGTTCGAATCTGAAAATTTTCGTTTTTAATGAATTGAGAATTAAACTTACTAGCTAATTCGGAGTTTAATAAACTTCGAGAACTTCCAGTGTCTATCAATAAGTTTGCTTCTAAGTGATTTATATAAATATGGGGTAGTTCATTTTTATTAAGTCTTTTCGCCATTCGTCGTGGCCTCCGAAAAATTTACATGTTCACCATTCTGAATAGAATTATCAAAATCATAATCGTAATTTTCACATTGACAAATTAAATTTTCGAATTGATTTTCAAAATCAGTAGAATAAGCATCATTAAATGTTTCCATATTATGTAACTGGGGTGCAAAATTCCTAGATCTGTTTGATTGGAAATAATTTCGATTATTATTTGATTTTTGGACTGTAGGATTTCTAGAACTAGTAGACATTGGTTCCGGTTTATTAGCAGGGATTTGACCGGTTGGTTTAAATACGTCTGCCGGAGGTCCGAAAACTTGTCTATTTGTAAAATATTGTTGAGGTTGTAAATTTTGTCTGGGTTGTATGTTAAATGGTCGAGAAGAAAATTGATTGAATGAATTATTTCTAAAATTCTGATTAATATAACCATTATAATTATTTTGGAAACTATTATTAGGACCTTGGTATGAGTTTGATCTTTGATTATTAAAATTTTGATAATTATTTCTACTTCGGTGACTATTTCGGTGACCATTTCGGGGGTTAGATTTACTATTATTATTAATATTGGAATTTTGAAAAAATTCATTTTGTTTTTGACTTAATATGAAATTTTCTTCTTCTAAAACATGAGACATTGCCATTTCCAGTGAATCAAGATTTCTTAATCGTACTAAATCTTGTACACGGCCAGTTAAGCCACGAATAAAAGTTTTTAAAGCTAATTCATCATAATTTTTAATTCTAAACGTTCTTTCTTCCGTAGTTAAATTCATTGAAATTAAGTTTGAAGCAATGGCACTTCTGGATTGCTGAATACGTTGTCCAAAATTTATAAAAGATTCATTTCTTAATGGCCTTAAAATAATTAATTCTTGAACTAAACAATCAAGGTTTCTTTGGTCTCCGAAACTAAGTATTAAAAGATTTTTTAAACTATCCCAAACTCTTACTTCTGGTCTAGAACCTACTAATCTTAATGCATTACCAGATAATTTTCCAATTATTGCTCTTAATAAAAAACTATTAATTGGATCGTTCCTATTTTAAGTATTTTTATATTGGCTAATTAAACAATCACAATGTTCTAAAAATATCTCCAAGATTCCACTGTCTTTATCAAAAATTGGTATTGTGTCTATATGCATTTTCATTAAAGAGTGGTTAACACCACTAACAGGAACAACTGAATCTTAACTACCGTTACCCAATGTGTTTGTTTTTAGACTTAAATTACTAATTGTTTCTATTAATTCGTCAATTTTTGCAAATTTAATTGAAAGTTAAAAATCTCTTAAAATATTATATACACTAATATTTAAAGTTTAAAACTTGGACTCATATATTCAATATACATGCAAAAATTATAAATGTTTATTTTATTTCTCAAAATTACTTATCTCCTAAATTTCTTTTAAATATATTATAATCGTTAATAATTTAAAAGATAAAAATCATGGAATTCTATATTTACTAGTTATCCACAACTGATTCCCTAATTTTACCAAAGATAAAAAATGTAAAAAGGAAAAGAAAGGATTGGCTTAACACGTCCTTGGTTGATGGTTCTGCTCCACGAAGAATTGAAATTCACGACGTCTTCACTTTGTTCACAAGAAAAACGCCTTGAAATATCCTACTGACTGCGCCAGATAAATTTAAGGAATGGAAAAATAACTTTTTAAAAATTTTTATTTTACTATACAAACGTTTTACTTTGATAAAGAAATAAGGAATGACAATTATACAATTTAACATATATTTATAAGCTAGCTTGTGCTGACGAAGCAGGTCGAAGACCGGCTTGCAAGCTTGCATATAGAGTTCATATAACTAGCGACATGCACAAAGCATTGTTATAAGTTATAACCTACAGAGTGTTGTTCAATAACTATTAATAACCAATTTAAAAAAAGATGGCCTGTTCAGTTTAATTTAGTCCAAAATAAACTGTTTCAATTTTTGTAAACAAAATTAGTCTAGTTGTTGTTTGTCATTTTTGTGAATGCAAGATTTTCTTTAAACGGAAATTTTCTATTATAGAGAAAAATAGTTTTTATTTTAGGCTGACAGATAAATATATAAAAAGCTACTTATCTTTTACTATTTAATTAAAGCAACGTCTTTTGGAAATAAAATATACAAGCCTTGACACATTTAAAAAAAATCTTTTAAGTTAAACTTTGGTACTATAGTTTTACCGTTGCATTTTTGATTTTATGAGTATGAAAACATTTTCTTCTGATTCTCATTCATTCAGAATTCGTTATCGTTTAAATAATTTTATTGTTTTCTTGAAATCCGAAAAATGAATCAATTTTCTTTTACATTTAAAAGCATATCTCAACTTTCTTGGTCAGAATATTTGCTTAATAAATGTAATACCAACTTTGTCTACTTCTAGTTTTTCTCTATGACTACTATTTCTTATTTTTGTTTTAGGCCCCATTGAGGAGACCAGAAAAAAGAAGAAAGGAAAGAAGTTCATGATAAATTTGGTGCTCGCTCTATTCATAATAAAAAGTGTCCTCATGCCAATCGCCATCAAAGTGATGGCGGTTATGTCCAGCGTCTCCGTGGTCTTAAGTACCATGAGTTTGATAATTTCTTCACTGATAGGTTATTCTAAATTAGCCTGGAGACACGCAGGACCAACTATAAAATTCATTCAGGGTAAAGATCCTTGGAGCAAGGACGAAAACATTGTAACTGGCTTAAGCGATGGGTTGGACTACTTGGGGCCGAGTAGTGGTTTGGGACACGATATCGGGACTGGTACATTGGAACATTTACACTACTATCAGAAGTAACTGTTTAAAAAAATGTTGTTTACTGTTTAATAGTAAATTAAATTATTTGTGTTATTTTATTTATTGCTATTAAATATTTATTCAGACATGGATTTTTTTTTAATAAGATCTAATTTTAACAACTGTTAAATTTAGTAATTGCAAAATTAAGGTTTTTGAACTAAATTTAGGTAACTTTTCATGAGAAATCAAAAAGAAAAAAATTATTATTAATTTCTTTGGAAATATTTATGATCAAAATTTAAAAAAACGCTACTTTTTCTATGAATAAAGTTAATTTTAATTAAATTTATGTTAATTCCGACATATATAGCAGTTTTCAGATTTTCCATTAGTAATTACATAGTTGATAATAAGTACTGTATCCACTAAAAAACTTTAATGTCAATAAAATCGACCCAACAAAATTAATAATTTCTAAAAATTAAGGCAAGCCAACATTTAATTAAAATCTAATAGATAACTCTAATAACTGTTGAAATGTATTCAACATTGCTCAGTATTGCATCGAATTCTTTTATTATTTCTGAAGACGTATCTGAAGACGTCTCTATCGCACTGCCTTGGCCGATAGGAACGATCTCGTAACTAATAACTAAGCCGCATGCATAATTCACTTCTTGTCGACTTCTCATTGGCCATCCATACAAGGCAACCTAATTGGTCAGCTTCAAGCGTCACTCTTATGCAAGCTGAGCGACTTCTCTTCCGACAGATCATAAAAAATTGTCACAAACAAAACATCGTTTTGCGGTGTAAAAGAAGACAACGCTTTCGGCGGCCATCATGATATAATTTTTAACTCATAAGAATGGCTTAAGTAACAAATTTCCTAAGGAAATTCTGTACATAGTGTAAAAAGTATATAGTGTATAAGTGCACCATCTAACAAAATTAGCATCGTTTAAGAAGTGTTTTAAATAAAGTGTATGACTAGAAGGATCCAAGCACTAATCCTTTCAGCTCTTCGGATCGCACAGGTATTTCCAACATTATTTATTACGGTTCATAATTTTCCAAGGTCCGAATATCGGTCTTAGTTTGTTTATAGAAGCGGAAACACCTAGCTTTTGGCAAATACACAAAAATAACTATGAAACTTGGGATATTATAAGCAAAAAAATTAATGCAAATGTAAAAAAAAATTGAGCTAATTATATATAAACATTAGAATTTGATTTTAATGTTAAAACCACTGCTTTTGATGACATAGTTTTTACTATAAATGAGCGGAGCTTAATTTCTTGATATGGCGCAGATCATAGTACAGTTCTTAACTTTTCAGACTCCACATGATCTTTCTATGTCTACTAATGTCTTTATTTAACAAATAAAAATTAAATAATGTATACTCTTTGAGTATTTTTAGGCTTCGCTAAGAACCAATAATGAATAAAATCGATTTTACGCTAACAAACAATTATTATATTTACTGTTACTACTAATTCCAATTCTCTTATTTCAAAATTATACATGGTAAATTAACAGCAAGCAAACCATCACCATTCGTCAGATATACCATCTGGTAAACAAAATTCGGTTTAGGAAAAATCACTCGTGTGAGAAATTTTATTTAAATTTCGTTAACTGTTAGGATTCTATTACGGAATCGGGCAGATGTATCAAATTGAATCAATAAAAAAAAAACTATTGCGATCTGTTATTTAATTTCTTAATTAACTTTGTTTGAATTATTGTTTTTTGTTAATGGTAGAAATTTATGGATTATAAATAGTTTAGTAGTTCTGTATGAAACACTTTATAGAATGTTTTTACTAAGTTTTGTTAATTATTTTGGAATAATCATTACATTTTGCATAAAACGAGTGAAAATAATATTTTGACAAATATAACTAAAGATCAAATACCAAGGATTTATATATAATATAATTTCCTTCTTTGTTTTTCAAGTTCTTTCTCTCTTTTTGTTTGTATTAAATCTTTTGACAATACTATTTTTAAAATCTTCATTTTTATTCTGTCGCCTACTTTTCTTATTATTTGATTTTCGATAAGTTGATAAAGTATTGGGTTACCAGATTACTTACGTAACATATTGATCGACTTCTCGTATATATCAAGTTCTTTGCTTAGCGAGACGTTGAAGAAGGGCCTGGAGATTCAAAGACAAAGATAATGAGTCGAAAGAATCACACAGAGCCAGGGGAGACGTTAAAAAATCCTTTGGAGACCTATAGACGAAGAAGAGAAGCTAGATAAGTAATGTAAAACCATCGAGTTCTCTTAGGACGAAGAGGAGACAGAAATATCTTATAAACATGCTCAGTAGCATTGCCAAAAGTACCAAAGCTTAAATCTGCAAGAGTATTCGTTTGATTTGATTGGGACGAATGGTACCTTTGTAATTTGAGGTCAGATTTTAAACAAAAACACAGTATAGTGGGTGATTTTATTAATAGTTTTATCCATAATGTCACATAAAAAGTAAAGTTGATCATTTTATTAGAACAATTTTTTTGGATTAGAGTACCAGTAGTAGATATGTAATAAAAAGAATCATCAAAGTATCATCTTCATCAGGCTAATGTAAAATGATATATGTCATCTATTTCATAAATATGTCAAAAATTTTCTGACAGCATTGGTGTATAGAGATATATAGAGGTATTTGAAGATTTAAGAACGAACCTAAAACGGTGCTAGGCCCGAATTAGCATATTAAACTGCAGGCTAGGAATCTCGACGGTCAATGTCGCGATGGTCCAGTGGTAGGGCATTAGTATACAGAACAAAGATGTCAGGGTTCGAATCCCAGGACTGACAGGATTTTTTTAAATCTTCAAATATGTGTTTTTATCATTGGGGTTAAGGCATGGTCTTAATAATTCGTAGTGGGATTTTTGAGATTTGTTTTCGAATTTTCAAATTATTTCTACTATTGCAATAGTAAATGGTTTGCAAAATAAGTAGAAAAAGTTCTATGTGCACATATTTTTTTTATACTATACTTTTTTACAATTAAAATAATTTGAAAAGCTTATAATGCATATTAACATATTAAGTAATATAACTAAGTATATAATATTGCAATATTCCCAATCTTCTTCCTCATGGTTTACGACTTTCAAAACTTAGCATGTGCTATGGACCACTTTAAATTTTTCCAGTAGAGTACATTGTAAAACAAACAACTTTAAGTCATGGCATATCATAAATGTTCATATTCTTAATAAACTCTAGTACATTTTACAATATAAAATAAATCATGTAAGTAGATGAATATTAAATAAAGTTAATGTAGATAAAGTCATAGAAAACAATATTTCCTGAATATTGATTAACTTGGAAAGTGAGCCTCAAAATAAAATATAAAGGTCTTCTCATAATCTTATTGTTTAAATTGTTGAGTTTCATTTTAGAGTTTTTATTATATTTTTGTAAAATTGTACCAAGTGAACACAATTTCCAAAACTAACAATTTAAAAAATGGAAATTAATATGTAAAGAATTTAATCAACATTAAATCCAAATTTTTATTATCATCCCATGTGAGATTCTTAATGTTTATGTTTAGAAAATTCTACAGCCAGAGTTTACCATATAAAAACATACTGTAACTTTGTTCAAACATCAGATCTATGACTTTTTCTTAAGCATTTATCCACTTTAAAAACGGTTTGTTTTGATTCGTGATCCTAATACAATTACTACGACTACTACTACTACTACTACTACTGGGAATGCTTCCTTTCTAACAAAGAAATAAAACAACACCTTGTTTATATAATTTTATTTTCATAATAATAACCCAAAACATCAGCGGAATTGCACCACCTGTCCAGGAAAGATTTAGTTGACTTATATAGTAGTTTAATCGTAATCATATTGATGTCTATAAAATATTATAATAGATATTATAAATTCAAATCTTTATGTCAATAAGTTGACTTACCTACCTTATAAACATTTAAAACAGTTACACGAATGTATTTATTGGGTCATTGAAAAAATATACTATACAGCTTTAGAGAATTGTCTATATTGCACTTCATAATCGTGTGATATGGCCATTATAACCATTGTTGTTGCAAAACCTATTATTTTGGAGCTACATCAGAAACAATTAAATTATTTTAGTAATATGGCAACTTAAACACCAAATTTCTTTGATATATGAATAGCTTTTCATAGCAAGCTCGAAGACTACTAAAATAAAGTAATTATTATAAATCTGACATTCAATCATTTCAAATGCAGAAGGAGTTCCTCTGAAGGTCTACAGAACTGTGATTCGATGTATTCTATGTTATGGAACACATAGCTACAGTTTTCACTTAGGTTTCTTTCATAAAAAATTTAATTATTTAAAAATACAAAATATTATTTATGATTATCCCATAGCTCTTTGTAGTTTGTTAGAGGGAACAGGGGTGAATAACATGTACGATTTCCCGATTGTGGAAGCTGTCAAATTTAGAGTACAGTAGCTTATCGATATATTTTTTAGTTTTTTGCTGGGAATGAAATAATTTGCTTCTAGACGTCTGAAACAAAAACAAAAAAACTTCCTTTGCAAGAATTTTGTATCGTCTGGTTTTGCTACTATTGATATAGGCAAATACCTACATTACACTGAAAGTATCAAAACCGGGCGACAAAATATGCTTGCAAAGGGATTTCTTTATTGTTGTAAAATTCTAGAAGTTAAATAAGAAAAAATCGATAAGAAATATTATTTCGAATTTGACTTGTTATACGACAGCTTCCACCACCAGGACATATTACAAGTTCACTCTTCTCTCCTGTACCCAACTACAAATAGCAAGCCAAAAACACGACATGTCACTTTTTGCACAAAATCTTTCAACCAATGATTCCAATAGATTTGTAAAAAATTATTTTTGCTAGTGCTTTCGACCTTACAGAGTCATTATCGGGCAAAAAGTATTAAACTTGTTACAACTAAACCAAGTTTTCACCGTTTTAAGTCATTTTGCATCTCTTGACAAAATAGTAGTATCGTCCTCAAAGGGAATACATTTAGTTTTACCCAGATGATGGGAGGTTGTTAGCATAGATGATAAATAAAATCGGACCAAAGATGTAGCTGTGAGTCCATATTG